GACAGAATGTAGCAGTAATGATAGATTTCAGTTATCCTGATCTGTCGGGAGGCAAATGCTGCTAAATATCGACCTTCCAAGATATTCCTGGCTTGTGCTGCCATTAATTGTTTCCTACAAAAAGTAGAAGAAGAAACTAAACGACTTGACATGATTCTAACCAACAGACATGAGTTGGTGGAAGAAGAGGTAGTAAGGCGAATTCTAGGGGGAAGTGACGATGGTCTACTTGAGTTCATGATTTCAAAGAAAACAAAAGCAGAGTGTAGCCACATGTGTCAGTGGATTTTAGAAAAGCCAGTTTTACTAAACTCAGAACAATGATAAGTTAGGCAGGAGATCCTAACAGGAAAAGGAGTCCAAGACTATTGGTAGTGTCTTAAAAAGGAAATTTTAGAGGCATATCTACAAATAATTTCAGTAAGAAAAATGGGGAAGACAGGGAAAAAAACCAATGTCACTTCCCACAAAACTCTGAGATGACCTGAAAATAAAAAGGACACATATAGTAAGTATAATGAAGGCCATGCCACAAAATAAGAGTATAGGCATGTAGCAAAGAACTGCAGAGATCAGAAAGGCAAAATCTGAGAATGAGCTGAAGCTAACAAGAAATGCTAAAAGCAACAAAATAGCATTCTCCAGGTACATACATATCAAAAGACAGAGAAAAGAAATAGTGGCTCAGCTACACAGTGTGGATAGAAAAATGATAAAAGATGACAAAGAAAAAGCAGAGGTGCTCCATTCCTACTCTAGCTCCGTCTTTTCCCAAAAGACAGTCTATGTGAAGTGGAAAAGATAGGACTGCAGCTTGAGATTGACAAATAGTCAAGGAAAACCTTATTGCTTTGAATGATTTCAAATATCCAGGGTCAGATGAACTGCATAAAAGAGTATTGAAGAAACTGGCAGAAGAATTCTCAGAACTACTGTGTATTATTTTCTTGAAATCGTGAAGAACTGGTGCATTGCTAGATGATTGGAAAAGGGCTAACATTGTCCCTAGATTCAAAAAGGGCAAAAAGGAGGAACCTGGGAACTACAGACCAGTCAGCCTGATATTAATCCCAAGGAAAATTCTGGAGCAGAGTATAAAGCATTCACTCTGCAAGTACCTTGAAAATAATACAGTACAGTAATAACTACAAGCAAAAATGGATTTCTCGAAAACAAATCCTGCCAGACTAATCTTATCTCTCTCTCTCTCTCTTTTGTTTGTTTGTTTGTTTTTGAATCGGGTAACCATCCTGGTAGACGGTGAGAATACTGTAGACATAATATATCTTGACTTTAGTAGAGCTTTTGACAAAATGTTCCATGATAGTCTCATTAGCAAGCTAACTAGGTATGGGCTAGATCACTGGTTCTTAACCTTGAGTTACTCAGGAGTTTTGGACTGCAACTCCCAGAAGCCTTCACTTGTTTGTTTTTGAATCAGGTAACCATCCTGGTAGATGGTGAGAATACTGTAGACATAATATATCTTGACTTTAGTAGAGCTTTTGACAAAATGTTCCATGATAGTCTCATTAGCAAGCTAACTAGGTATGGGCTAGATCACTGGTTCTTAACCTTGAGTTACTCAGGAGTTTTGGACTGCAACTCCCAGAAGCCTTCACCACCAGCTGTGCTGGCTGGGGTTCCTGGGAGTTGCAGTTCAAAAGCATCTGAGTAACAAAGGTTAAGAACCACTGGGCTAGATAGCACAAGTGTCAGGGGGATAAACAGTTGTTACACAATCATACTCAGAGAGTGCTTATCTATGGCTCCTTCTCAAGCTGGGAAGAGGTAACAAGTGGGGCTCAGTTCTGGGCCTAGTGATCTTCAACATTTTCATTAATTACTTTAGATGAGGGGGCACAAGGAATGCTTACCAAATATGTAGATGACACAAAATGGGGTGAAATAGTTAATACCTTAAAAGGCAGAAAGGAAATTCCCCCCCCCAAAAAAACCACACACAAAAAAACCCCCAAAACAGAAAGGAAATTCCAAAAAAAAAACAAAAACCCACACACAAAAAAACCCCCAAAACCCTGATAAGCTTGAGCACTGGGCTGAAAACAACAGAATGAAATTTAACAAGGATAAGTGCAATGTTCTACACCTAGGGGGAAAAAACCAAACACACTTACAAGACAGAGGGGCATACTGTACTTGGCTCAGTAATACTACAAGCACGAAGGACCTTGGAATTGTTATAGACCACAAACTGAATATGAGCCAACAGTGTGATGTGGTTAGAAAAAAGGCAAATGGTATTTTAGGTTGCATTAACAGAATTACAGTCTCCAAATCTTATGAAGTACTAATCCCCCTCTATTCAGCACTGGTTAGGCCTCATCTTAAGTACTTTGTTCAGTTCTGGACACCATACTTTTAAAAAGATGTCAAGAAACTGGAACAAGCTAAGAGGAGAGCAACAAGAATGATTGGGGGATTGGAAACCAAGCCCTATGAGGAAAGACTCAAAGAACTGGGCATGTTAACCTTGAGAAAAGAAGACTCAGGGGAGATACAATAGTACCGTACTTTTCGCTCCATAAGACGCACCATTCCATAAGACACACCAATTTTTTAGGAGAATAAAACAGGAAAATATAATCTGTTTTCTTCGCTCCATAAGATGCACAGACTTTCTACCCCCCTGTTTTGTGGGAAGAAAGTGCGTCTTATGGTGCAAAAAATACGGTACAGTACTTTGCAAATACGTGAAAGGTGATCATATAGAGGAGGGACAGGGTCTGTTCTCGATTATCCCAGAGTGCAGGGCATGTAATAATGGACTGAAGTTACAGGAAGCCAGATTTTGGTTGAATATCAAGGGAGGAAAAATTAACTGTTAGAGCAGTACAACAGTGGAACCTATTACCATGGAAGGTGATGAATGCTCCAATTCTAGGAGGCATTCAAAAGAAAATTAGACAACCATCTGTCAGATATACTTTGATTGGGATTCCTGCACTTAGTAGGAGTTACACTGAATGGTCTCATAGGTCCCTTCCAACTCCATTATTCTATTATTCATTTCCTTCTCTATATCTCAGCCCAGCCCCACCCACCCCAAATCATAGCTGGAGTTCTGACTAAGTTCAGAGGTAGTTCTAAAGAAGACAACAAATAAGAATGTAACTCAATGAAAGAAGGCAAGGTTCTGCCTCTTTGCCTGACATTTTTCACAATGCATCCCACTGAACTATCAGCAGCTGAGTTTAAATTGTCAGGAAACAGTAAGTGAAGTCCAAAAGACCTATATAAATAGCAAAACAACTATATTTACACAGTCTTCTTCTAAAGTATATCCATGATTCTCTATATGACACTATATATGTGATACAAAATATTTTCGTGAAGCGGATTCGTTGTTATACAGGGTAATCGTTAAGTGGGGCACGACTGTACTAAGGAATTATTTGCCAAATCTGTATTTCTAAACTTTAAAACACATCCATTGCATGATTGCAGGATTTAACAGCTAGATATCCTGCCAATTTAAGATGCCCTGACTTTCCTCACAACAACAAAAATCAGTTCTACTTTTATCAACAGTACATTTTCTCTTACCCCTCTTGCAAAACAACAATAGGTACTCATTGAAGCACTATAATCTGTAAAGGTAACAAATGTGGCTAGTGAAACATAAGGAAATCCAGACAAATATTTTTAAAAAGAAAGAAAAAGAAAAATGTAGTAGAACCTTAAAAATGAATTGTTATATTTCAATGGGAGCTTTTGTGGATGCATCCAGTTGTTCAAACATATCTAGAGTGATCATATGTAAAGGAAATCAAGAAAAGTGAAGGTACAAGAAAAATGAGTCAAACAGTAATAACCAGCAGAAAAGAAAACCAAAGAAGCATTCTATCATTTACACCATTGAATAAAGTTTAAAGAATAGATAATAGCAAGATATATTTTTCTTTATAGAGCTCACATTAATAGCACAGCTAGCCAACATAGCAGGAATAAAGTCAGAAGACATGGGTAATCATGTCTGTAATAGACTTGCTGTGGACATAAATCGGAAAATACAATGCAAGCAGGAAATGTTGCAATTGGGAAAAGTTATGGAAAATAAATGCAGACAAGTTTTGTGCACCCAAAAGACTAACACTGAAATGGGCTCCAGTCCACAGAAGCTTATGTCAAACAAAACTCACTATGTTACCATAAGACTATGCTGTTCCTGTCCTGCAAAAGACTAACACAGCAACTTCCCCTAGGAAACAAATAGTTTCTCAAAGCATCTAAAGAGCTAGGAAGCACAGAATCAAGACAGAAAACTGTTAACTTAACAAAGGTCACCATACCAATCATACAAGACATATAAGAAGTGAAAAGTATGGCACTACCATTGTAACATACAGAGGGAACTGCAATAAATGCAAACACAGCTATGAAAATAAATGGTTCTTTTGTAATGGTGAGGACATAAACAGCAGGAATTACCCCCAAAAAGCCATTAGTATTGATTTGTGGTAATATGCACCATAATGAAAGGCCTCTTAACGGATCTGTCGCTCTGCTATAGCAGTGTGATAGTATTGGTGTACAATGTGACAGACACGTAAGAGTGGTCATACCAACACGAAAGAAAACACAGGAGCAATAATAGATGGTGCTAGTATGTGGGAAACAAATAAGTGAAAGTAGCAAGAGAAGGAACTCCAGCAGTGGTTGCAGATTGTTTAGATAGGCTATAAAACTGTGAGATGGTATGGAGGGAAATATGTATTTAGCAGAGTGCAGAAGCATCAGGGAGGCAATGCCATGGCAAAACACGTTAGGACAGCAGAGATATGGCAGCAAAGGTGAAGTAAAGATGGCAAAAGCCGTGAAAGCACCAGTGACTGATGGGGCATCCATGACCACAGAGGTGATCAATAGAGGAGCAACCCTGATAGCACAGCTGTGAAGCTGCTAATGAAAAAAAAAAGCTGTAACAGCATGGTGATAGCGCAAGCTACAAAGGACACTAGGATGGTGACAAGAGCACGATGCCCGCTGTGGTGGCGGAAACAGCAATGGTACAGGTAGCATCAGAGGAGCTACAGCGAGACGACAGCAATGGCTGGAAGGGAAAAGGGCCAGAGCCACAAACAAGAGCCAGGCCACGACAGAGGCATGGTGGTAGTGGCCATGAGGGCACCAGGAGACAGGTGGCCTAGCTTGGCCCTGCATGGTTGTGGCACCACACGGACGACGACAGACACAGAGGTCACCAAAGGTTACTGGCCAGTGGCCAAGGCTAGGCCACGACAAGCAGCAGCAGCAGCAGCAGGGGTGAGTGGTGGAGCCCTATCCCCTCACCTTTACCACCACCACCACCATCCCACCATCGCCACCCTGTTTTGCCCTCACCTGGCCAGGACGGAGCCCTGCTGAGGTGTTGGGGGAGGGGGCCAGAGGCACACCTGGGGTGGGCGAGGGGCTGCGGGGGGGGGCGTTGGAGAGGCACACTTGGCGGGCTTGCTCCTGCACTGCGGCTGCTCTCTCCCCTCCCCACCCCCACCCCCGGACCAGGCAACCC